GGAGAAAAGGGAGATTGTGCCAATTTCAACACTTACGCAAGATCAAATGTAATGAAAATGGGAGTTTCAGACTGAAGGCAAGAATAGCAAACCATGGTTTAGTCTATTTTTGACCAGCCAAGATCCCAGTGTATCTCACTTGTTGGAGAGAATATAGCAACATGTAAAAGGATAGCAAGGGTACTAGGGGCAACCTCACAGAAATTTAAATCCATTTTTTGGCCATTACTAGCCAAAATGGTATAATATACTATAATGACTATGTATAAAAGCTGAGACTGCAGACATGGAAACCAGTAGTTCATAGGCTAGAGATTGGCTCTAATATCTCATCCATCTTTCCAAGCCATCAAGCACCGTGTCATTTCAGAAAGATAAACCTAGATTTTAAATTTGGAGAATAGATAGCCCTCTGACTTCTTTGCGCTGGTGTGTGTGTGTGTGTGTGTGTGTGTGTGTATATATATATATATATTCATCTATTGTGGTTGTGTTCCTGTCTGCAATAAAGAAACTTGCCTAGCTAAGTTATGTCTGAAAGTCAAATTAAAGATTAAGTGTCTGGAGACCTGAGATTTACTGCTGAGCCTGATAACTTGGACTCATCTGAATGAGTTCTGTAGCTGTACTGTGGTCACAACAAGAAAACACATATATAGGAAATATTAATAATGCAAGTTAGCTCGAAGCAAACTAAGGACGCATAGGGTTTAACTTGAATTTAGTGCCATTGCTAGATTTATATATATATATATATATATATATATATATATATATATATATATATATCCACTTTCGTGCCATTGCTAGATATATATATATATATATATATATATATATATATATATATATATATATATCCACTTTCTCTCATTCTGTGTTCTTCCTGATCAATTTTTAACTGCAACTCAACTTCATCCCTCAAACCCTTATCCAGGAGTAATTCCTGAATTGCCAGTGTGCAGTAGATAAATGTCTCAAAGCTGCTTTTTCAAGAGGCAACTGGACTTTCTTGGGTTTTTTTTAAGACATTTCGCTTCTCATCCAAGCCTTGACTGGATGGTGGGGAATGGAAAGATTTATATTATTTGCAGACAGCTGGTCATTTACATTCTTTTAGAGAATGGTTGAAGCCACTTGGAAGTTTATCTGTGTCCTCAAGGTCACCTGAGTGGTGCAAATATGCTGAAATGACTGCTGTAGAGTGGAGATAGATGATGTCATATCCCTCCCCCTCTTTTGAGAGAGGGTTCAAATTTGACATAGATGGCCTCCTTGACCCCTCTTTCAAACCAGCAGTCCCCTCTGTCCAAAATGTGGAATTTGCTGTCTTCAAAACAGTGGCTTTTGTCTTTTAAATGCAGATGGACTGCTGAATCTTGTCCTGATGGGTTTGTTTTCCTGTGGTGTGCCATGCATCTATGAAGTAGTTGTTTTGTTTCCCAAATGTACAGATCTGCACATGTCTCACTGCATTGTACTGCATATACCATGTTCTGGGTGTTTTATCCTTGGGGTGGACAAGCTTCTGCCTTAGCGTAATCTTGGGTTTAAAGTGTGCATGTATGTTGTGTTGGCTGAAGTTCCTCCTGAGCTTTTCAGATATTCCTGGAATGACAACATTATTTCGTTTATTGTTCTTTTCTGTTAAGGAGGAGCTCCTGCTGGGTCTTTTTTGGGATTTGATGAAGGCCCAGTTGGGATAGCCACATTTTCTGAGGGCTCCCCTGATATGTTTTAGTTCTTTTCCTTCCCATCTTTGCTGGTAGGAGGCCTTCAGCTCGATGATGGTAGGGTTCTAATAACTCTCATTTTGTGGGTGGTGAGAATCAAAATGTAAATATTGATTTGTGTGGATGGGTTTTCTCTAAACTTCAGCGTTAAGGCTTCTGTCTTCCTTAATGTGTATTGCACAGTCTAGGAAGGCTAGACTTTTCCTTAACATCTCCCCACGTGAATTTGATGTATCTGGCCACAGAGCTGATATGTTTGCTAAACGCTTCCAATTCCTGTGTTTTGATCTTGACCCAAGTATCATCCACGTACCTATACCAGTGAGTGGGTGGAATTCCTGTGAAGGAGTTTAGGGCTTTGGTTTCTACCTCTTCCATGTAGAGATTGGCCACAATGGGGGACACAGGCGAACCCATGATGCAATCGGTTTTTGTCTGTAGAAACCTTCATTGTATTTAAAATAGGTAGTGATCAGGCAGAGGTCCAGCATGGCACATATGTGGTCTGGGTTGAGTTTGGTTCTGTCACCAAAGGTGCTGTCTTGCAGCAGTCGTTTCTTCACTACCGTGACAGCTTCAGTTGTTGGAATGCAGGTGAAGAGGGAAATCACATCATAGGAAACCATGTTCTCAACCAGGTCCAGTTTTAGTTTCCAAACCTTGCTGGCAAAGTGCTGTGAATTGCTGATATAATTTGTGGTGTTGCCAACTAGAGGAGCTAATAAGGTGGTTAGATGTTTTGCAATATTGTAGGTGACAGAATTGATGCAGCTGACGATTGGTCTGAGTGGAGTTCCCTCTTTGTGAATTTTGGGGAGTCCGTATATGCATGGGGTAGCTTCCCCAAGGTAAAGACGGTAATATTGTGGCTTGTAGATTGCATTGTCCTTCAGTAGGTGTTGCAAGAAATCAGTTATCTTTTTCTTGTAACTGCTGGTGGGCTCTCTTTAGCAGTGTCCTTCAGAAGACTGTTCACCTTGGCCTTGTAGTCATCTGTGTTCATCTTCCTTTATCAGCTGGCAGGATGGTGATGTTCGGGTATCTTCCTAGGGATGTCACTGATCTCCTTTCTTGAATTGTGAGGTTGGAAGGGGGTGTTTTGGCACTGGCGAGGGCTGCAGATACCCTCATCCTTAATTGTTCTGCCTCTGGTTCTTGTCAGTTTATTGTTCCTGATGGCTGAACTCTGTGGCTGTGAGGAGAACAACAATTGGTAGCTGTTCTGGTGTTACTGCAAAATTTAGTCCAGGGGTAGTCAACCTTGGCTCTTTTATGACTCGTGGACTTCAACTCCCAGAATTCCTGAGCCAGGAATTCCTGAGCTCAGGAATTCTGGGAATTGAAGTCCACGAGTCATAAAAGAGCCAAGGTTGACTACCCCTGATTCAGTCCTTTGGCTAAAACATTATTTTCTGTTTGGGACAGATTTCTTACCCATTGGTTAGTTTTCTGAGACAGGTCACTGTCCATCTGGGTTGGACATATCTGAAAAGCTCAGGAGGATCTTCAACCAACACAACATATGTGCACACTTTAAACCCAATAATACACTAAGGCAGAAGCTTGTCCACCCCAAGGATAAAACACCCAGACACAAACTAAGCAACGTGGTATATGCAGTACAATGCAGTGAGACATGTGCAGATCTGTACATTGGGGAAACGAAACGTCTACTTCATAAACACATGGCACAACGTAGGAGAGCAAACCCTCTCAGTCGGAGAGTTGAGTGCAATGTAATCTTGGGGGAAAAAATTATGAAGATTCAAGTTAATTGGGACAGAAGCAACATTTGCGGTATAAAAGGATCCTGCTGTTTTTCTATATAGCTAATTCTGTCAGAAGACTTGATCAGATTTACGGATGGGCAAAACATCGATTTATATATAATTTAATTTTATCTATACCAAATAGATAAAATTTATTTACCTGGTAGATTTTAAAATAACAGCTCAGGATGCAAATTTGAAGTTTGAAAAACATAATTTAAGACTTAGTTCTCTGTCCGATCACAGACAGCTATAATTCATTCAAATTGTGATTTAATGTTAAAGAGAGAGTGTGGGTCCCAAGCTTTTATTATCTTGGCTCCTTTCCCTTTGCTCCTGCTCAGTCGTCAGTCATATTTCCAAGAATCTCTCTTCCTTTCTAACTTAATTGACTGCCCTGTATGTTCCTGATTTTTCTTCTTCCCGTATAGCTGTTGTCAGTGAGCAGGAAGAGTCTGGGACTTTCCCCGTTGCTGATTTAAATTGCTATTTACTCATTTTTGAATTGGCAGAAAACAACTAGCCTATAAATTTGCTGTCCCTGTTGTTGATCCTTATCTAGCATTTATT